ATATATATGTATGAATTTGTTTATAGTCTTCTTTGAATTCCTAACATAATTGGTGTTCTTGTCAAGATATACTTTAGCGTTTGTTTCATTGCGCCTGCCCGGAAAGGAAGTTTTGAAGGTCAAGATATAGGCCTGTAATCTATGTGAAAAGCTTGGAAGTGCGATAAGCTAAGCATCAAGAATTATTTATTTAAAATATTGTTGTTTTTTCGAATATTCATGTTTTTTTTCATTGTGTGCGGGGCGTGGCCTGTTTGTCTGTCGTTGTCTTATCATGTCTCCTCACTCTCTCTCCTCTCTCTCTCTCTCTCGTCCTTCTCCTCTCGTCTCTCTCCCTCTCTGCTCTCTCTCTCCTCTCTCTCTCTCTCCTCTTTCTACTCTAACTCTCTCTCTTCTCTCTCTTTCTCCATCTCTCTGTGTGTGGTGTGTGTGTGTGTGTATGGTGTGTGTGTGTGTGTGTGTGTGTGTGTGTGTGTGTGTGTATGTATTGCCACATATACATGGTATGTAATTACACACATACATGCTTATGTGTGTGTGTGTAATATATATGTATGAATATGTTTATAGTCTTCTTTTACATATATGTATGAATATGTTTATATTTTCATTTATTTTTGTGTATTTCTTCGCTCATTTCTTTTTATTATTCCAGTTTTTGTTGTTCTACCAAGATGTGGCTGTGGGTTGCAGCAACCACGGTTGGCTTTGTGATCGTGGTCAAGGTCGTGTACACTTTTCGCTCAGGCAAGTGTCGGTCTGAAGTCAAATTGGTCGGCAAAACAGTCATCGTTACCGGCGCTTCTGCAGGTATAGTAACAAGTGTTGCCAATTTACAGGACACGTGAACATTTTCACGGTGAGAGACCGCGAGTACAACTACTTTTCATATTTTGAGTGGTGGTTGTAAAGTGGTCGTTTTAAACATTTAAACTGAAGGGAATATTGTATAATTGCGATTATGGCAATAACTTTGTAGGATTAGAGAAACTTTTATAATAAAGGCGCTAATTTTTTTCTAACTTACATTGATTAGCGTCAATCGATCCATGACCTTCCCGAACCACATCAGTTTCAACAGACTAATTATAACCAGACCACATTAGATCAAACAGCGATTTTTTTTTAAATAATACACATACCAGATAAAATAATACCAAAAGAGAACTTGTTAGACTGAGCCTTACACAATACACAAACCAGACATGATATGATATGACCAGACCAATTAAGGACAAAAGAAATTACCCAAATGAAGTAAAAAAGAAGACTATATCAAATAGACAAAACCGCAAAATTTGAGACTTATCAGAAGAAAGACATGTCCTTTTAAGAGTAGATCATACCAGAGAATCTCTTACTATATATAGAGAGAGACAAGAACAAGTAAGACAATACCAAATGGAACTATAGAGTACCAGTAAAATGTGAACCCGACAAGACAAGATTTCACAATACTAAACAAAATAGATACACCAGAAAAGACTCCTTGAAAGACTGGACTAACTAGTTAATACTTGACTATACACCAAACAAGACCATGCCTTCAGTGGGCTCTCAATATATGTTAATAAAAAGAAAAGATTCATTTTTATTTGAAGTGGAGGCTGGGTATGGAATTTCCCTGAACATCTTCCTTTTTTAGCTCTTTTACACTCTTTATTCATCCAAAAATATTTTTGTGCACATGCGTATATATCATTACATTTTCATCATTATGTTACAGTTGATGTGTATAAAGGTTTGACATATTTTTGCAGGTATTGGCAAGGAAACAGCAAGAGACTTGGCTGAAAGAGGAGCACGTGTTATACTTGCTTGCAGAAATCTAGAGAAAGCACAGAAGGTTGCAGGTGAAGTAATATTTACCTGTTGGAATAATAACTTTAATCCCTAGTGACAGAATTAAGATATATACATAGTTCATAACTACTGATAAGTTCTACACATGTATATGAGAACATATGCTCATTTGGAAACAATCACCATATATGTCATCTTTTTATATACATCCTCAGAGTTTGATAATAAAATATCTTATCTTTCATTTTTGAAAAGACATGATGTTTCCAGCATCTTAATTAAGATTACACAATGAAACATCTTACATAGTGCTACACAATAACCAGAAAGTACAGTTTCACTTAATCATTATGTTTAATATTTATTTTAAAATGGTAGATATTTTACTTATGACATGTCCTACTGGTAATATATATTTTTAAAACTACAAAAACATATAATTTCTCTTAAAATGAAAAACTGATGACCCAAAGGAAACAAATCTCATATACTACGATAGAAGGTTATTCACCTTATGAAATATTCATTGTGCTTACTCAAAACCTTTTATGTGAACATCAGTATTTCCCTAAATAATTTTCTTTTTCATTAATACTGCACAGATGACATCATCAACACTACAGGCAATGGACAAGTGTTGGTACGTGAGCTTGACACATCAGACCTCAAATCTGTCAGAAAATTTGCAAAGGAGATTCTTGCTACAGAAAAGCGTCTAGACATCCTGGTAATGAAAACCTATATATTTTATGTACAATGAACTATTTACCAATGGCTGAGCACTAATGAAATAAAGTTTAGTGAGAACACATAAAGCTATAAAGAGTATAGTATAAATTTCAAATATTATGATTATTATTATTGGTAATATTGATATAATCCATACTGATGTTAGTAATACACTTGAAAAAGTATTATTGATATCATTGATGGATATTAATCAAAATTATGCTTTTGAACTTCTACCATAGTGGAATGATATGCATCTAGTAATTAATTGACTTGCATGTAATCGTAACTATATATTCATTCTCTCAGTTTTCCTTGTTTCTTATTTTTCTGTCTTATTGCTGTTGCTTATAATCATGACAATATGTCTATTCATTCAGTTTTTTACTGTGTCTTTTTTTGTCACACTGTTATTGCATTTATCATTCTGAATATGTCAGTTATTCACATTTATGTATTGTTTTCAGGTGAACAATGCAGGAATGTCAGGTCCAACCACAAAAAAAGTCTCAAGTGATGGTCTGGAGTTAACGCTGGCTACCAATCACTTTGGTCATTTCTTGTTAACCAATTTGTTATTAGGTGAGCATTACTCTCTTTAAATTTTAGTCAGCAATCATGGAATTATAAGAAGTATTGGAAAATTTTAAAATGCATATTAAAAGCTGATATCCCATGATTAAAATGCTTTTTTCCACTTTTGATAACTTTAGAGGCAAAAGTTTATTTAGATTGAATATAACATTCAGAGATGTATTCCAAATATAGAGTGACAATCTATAAAAAAAACATCCTAAAAGGTAAAAATGAAATATAGGCATGGGTATTTCACACATGCACACAAACAGTCACTCACTTACTTACTCACTCACACAATAACACAATCACTTACTCACTCACTCACTCACCACTCACTTACTCATCACTCACACACCAATCACTTACTCACTCACTCAACTAACACACACTCACTTACTCACTTCCAGAAAATATTGCATGTACTTGAAACATATCATTTTTAAATATTGTATGATAATTCAAGTATAGAAAATGGGCTTTGGTTTGTCCCTCATACTTTAAAAAATATGTAAGAACAAATAGGTAATAATACATACACACCATAGTGATGCCCCAGAAGGATACATGCTTGATAATCAAAATTTCATTCATGTTTCCACATCAGTATTGTTCATTGTAGTTAAAATTTCATTCATGTTTCCATTTTAGGATTGCTCATTATGAATAAAATTTCATTCATAAATCCATCTCAGGACTGCTCAAATCTAGTACTCCCAGTCGCGTCATTAATGTGAGCTCAGCTGCTCACTACTTTTGCAAGGAATTAAACCTTGACGTCAACTTCGAGAAGAGACCATATGCAGGTTCACTGTTTGTCTATAGCCAGTCCAAACTGGCCAACAATCTCTTCACTCTAGAATTGTCTGAAAAATTGAAAGGCACAGGTATGTAAATTCTTGTTTCTAATTGATAAAAAATTATGTTATATATTTGAAAAAAATTATAAACATTTATTTTTAATTTGTAATATTATATTTCCATGATATTTTTTTCTTTCATAGGTGTTACTACAAATTGTCTTCACCCAGGGGTTGTTAACACAGAAATCATACTGAAGGAAAATAAGAAATTCCTCAACTACATTTTTGCATTCTTTTTCTGGAGTATGGGCAAGGTTGGTATACCCCACACAACCACTTAATCATATTTCTCATTACTAAACTGCACTGGCAGTCTTCATTAATGACAGATATATTATAGAAGAATTTAAAACAAATAAAAATAAGTAATAATAAAAAAAGCTAAAGAAAAGAGTATGAAGTATGATTATATCTCTTGCCATGATTTTACAGGATGAGAAGTTAGGAGCACAGACAACCATCCACCTTGCAGTGTCTGAAGAAGTAGCAGATGTGTCAGGAATGTATTATACAGATTGTAAGGTAAGGGCTCTATAATCTATCATTTCTGAAACAATAGTGAATCATTTACTTCTGTTAGAGTTAATTCATTGTGCAGTTTGATTGAATTAATCATACTGGTCTGTTTTCCCCCCAAAAATTATTAGGGGAACAAGGTAAATTGCTCACTTCTAAAATTTATGATAAACCGATTAACATTTGTCACTAATTATTTTTGTATACACACAGTGCATTTGTTTTTTCATCAGCTAACATTAGTTACAACAGTATAACAAACCAATGCAGTTTTGATTTACCTAAAATGTCACAATTTACATGTGACATTAGGCCAAAATCTTCAGTGAGATCAATTAAAGAAAATTATTGAATATTTATTACAGCTCAAAACCCCCTCAACTTGCAATACCAACTGTGATGTATCAATGCAATTTCCTTTCAATATTGCCAATTATTACCTTCTATATAAATATATCAAATCAGTTAAGAACATTGCTGATATTTAAATCAGATTTTTCACCCAAATAAATT